GTCTGCTGCGCCCTGTGGGTCAGCTCCCTGGGCGTAATGGAACTCGGAGCAGGGATCGAAGCTGCGGATAGTTTAATAGTGCTGAGACATAACCCCTGCACCACCAGGGAGGCCCCCTTTATTTATTTTTATTATTTTTTTTTTTTTTGGTTATGAATGTGTGTGTTGATTATGGAACTCAGAGGCGATGCAAAGTGCGGGAGAGGAGAGTCACCTCCCTCTTCTCCAACTCGGCCTGTGAAACTGATGCGGCGAACTCCATGCTGTCCTCTGAGCAGTGTCCAGCTGGACAGACCGGCCTCCCCATGGCGTGATGATGGCACATGACACACATGGCATCAGCAGGGACATTTCTCACCGTGACTTGTTCTAAGCTGTGTCGTTGCGCGTGTCACTGAGATGATCTGTTTGGGGTTTGGTGAACCCTGCTTTAGATGAAGCAGGTACTTTGCCGGCCTGGGGTGTGTCTGTGCCACATGAACGCCCACCGTGATGGAAGAAGAAGAGTGAGCAGTGGTGGGCAAGGTCACTCCAGGAAGGGACTCCAGAGTGCCAAGGCCTGGAGTTTGGGCCCCCGAGGTGACCAGTGGCTGCAGTGTTCACACTAGGGAAATGTGGGGGATGCCAGTGCCCCCCAACAAGAAGGGGGTGCATCCTGGAGCATCTGTTCGAGGAACCCTGTGTGGTACCAAGATGGTGCCCCACCCTGAGTCAGAGCACGCCCCCGCAGTGAGCGCGATCAGCACCTTAGAAGGCAGAAGCTGTGGTGTGGTCTGTGTTTGTGAGCGTGGGTCTGTGTGTCCCCAGGACTATGTCACGAAACAGTGACAGCTGCTCTCTCGGTGGCGTGGGACTTGGGGTGATTTTTGCTTTCTGTTTTATTCTTATTCTTTTCTTTTCTGGTTTCAGCTTTTATAACTCTTTTGAAGGGACATTGATTACTTGAGGGGGGGCAGTAAAATAAAACAAAAGCCATTATGATTTTGAAGAGAAGGAATGCATGGGAGAGGACACCCTGTGCCCCAAGAGTGCAGACTCAGGGGGTGCAGCCTGCCTCCAGCCCTGCCTCTTCCCCCTCCCTGCCTGCCCCTCGACGCTGCCTGCCCCCCAGCCTTGCCTGCCCCCAGATGGCCGCCTGGGCTTGTGTGTTGCAGACTCCGACAGCCAGTGCAGCCCGACACGGCAGAGCCTCAGCCTGTCTGAGGGCGAGGAGCAGATGGACCGGCTGCAGCAGGTGGAGCTGGTCAGGACCACCCCCATGTCCCACTGGAAGGCCGGCACCGTCCAGGCCTGGCTGGAGGTGGTCATGGCCATGCCCATGTACGTGAAGGCCTGCGCAGAGAATGTGAAGAGTGGGAAGGTAGGAACCCTTGGGGTCCTGCGGGACAGCCACAGTTCTGCCCCTCCCTGCCCGCTGTTGCCCTGTCCCTGAGGTTAGGGAAAGACCAGCCAGGGGCCGCACATCTGGTTCAGGCTCCAGAGTCCCCACTTGGGTGTGGAGTCTCCCCGGCAAGGGGCCTCACCTTTCTGCTCTCAGCTTCCTCATCCTTAAAATAGGACTACCTGGTGCGGGGAGGGGCCCAGCGGGGTCCGGCCAGCTGCCGGAGCAGGAGCCAGCCAAGGTGGACCCTGAGACCTCCCTGCCCGCCCTTCCTGGAAGGATGGCGGGGAGGGATGGAGACTCAGCCCCACCCACAGTCCACCCCCACCCACATTGGCACAGCCAGCAGCAGGTCCTGGGGGGCTTCAGGTGCACCCCAGCCTCTCTCCCAGGAGCTCAGCCCCCACCTGTGGGCGCAGGTGCTGCTGAGTCTGAGCGACGAGGACCTGGAGCTGGGCCTGGGCGTGTGCAGCTCTCTGCACCGACGCAAGCTGCGGCTGGCCATCGAGGACTACCGCGACGCAGAGGCAGGCAGGAGGTGAGAGGCCCTGGCCCCTAGGTGGGCGCCCGAGAGACCTCGGAGCCCACAGGTTGGGGGGGGGGAGGGACAGGCAGGCAGCAGAGGCTGGCAGGTGAGCAGGACGAGGAGCTGTGATGAGAAGCGCCCAGAGTGCCTCTGGCCAGCAGGGAGACCCAGGCAGACCCAGGTAGACCCAGGGAGACCTAGGGAGACCCAGCGAACCCAGGGAGACCCAGCGAGACTCAGGAAGACCCAGGGAGACCCAGCGAGACCCAGGAAGACCCAGGGAAACCCAGTGAAACCCAGTAAAACTCAGGAAGACCCAGCGAGACCCAAGGAGCTCTCGGGCCAGCTCTCCCCAAAGGAAGATGGAGATGCAGGGAGCAAGCAAGGCCCCAGATGCCAGACAATTCCACAATGTGCCTGTCAGGAGGGCTGACAGGGGACCCTAGAACTCCTGAAGGACCAACTGGGGTGTATCTGGGAATTAAGCCAAACGCCCACTGCTTTGCACGGAAACCCCAGGCTGACTGCCCCAAGGTGAGGGAAGACGGAGAGAGAGAGACTGGCAGGTCTGGATGGGAAGACGAGCAGGCGGCCTGGGTTACTGCAGCCCCCAGCACGGGTACCAGGCCAGGGCACAGCTGGCTCGTAGTTCTGAGTAAGTAGGGGAGGAGGAAGCGTAAGGCTTTCTACCCTCTTGTGCAGAAACATATTTATCATCCATCCCAGTAAACATAAATAAACAGAACACCCGGCACTTGGGAGGTTCTTAGTCTGTCAGGTCAGGAGGGGTGTCCGTTAGCAGGCGCACCTGCAGCAGCTGGGGCCCCCAGAGAGACCCCTCGCCACCCCCGCCCAGCCTGGACTGCTGAGCAGAACCTTTGGGGGGACCGTCGTTCGCCAAGCAGCCGCAGGGAAGGAGATGGACCACACACCCAGCAGTTGGGGTTCAGAAGAAGGAAGCTCTGAAGCTGTTGCTTTCTCTGGTGCATAATTATCTCCTTCAGTGGTTTCCCATCATTTTTTGTGCAGTTAATTAATCAAACCTGGTGGTGTGTGCCATTATTTGCAGAAGCAGTTTTGTGGGCTAAAAAGCGAGGGGGCTGGGGCAGGAAATCAGGCCAGTTTGCAGGCAGGAACCCGGGTATCTGTGTGTCCTGGAGGAGAGCTATGGCCTGGTGCCCGGGAGGGCGTCTCCGAGGGTCTCGCCGGCTTAGACACCGGCAGGGGTGGCTCCTGGGTGGGGCCTTTATTTGACGTCTCCGTTCCCAGGGGAAATCTGGCCGGTCTCTGACTTGGTTACATAAGTTGTGTTTGTTCACCTTTTGGGGGGTCATGGCCTGTTTGAGAATCTACTCAAAACTTTTGAAACTTTCCCCAGAAAAAATGTTGCATTCTGTGACCCTCTGGCCACCCATGAAGATCTTAGGGGCCCATGGGCTCCAGGGAAAGCACCCTATGAGGTTTTCTTCAAGGACACATTCCATGTGACCTTGGGCATGACCTTGCCCTCTCTGAGCCTGGTTCCCCTAAGCTCTAAAACACCCACAGCAGAGCCCAGCTGCCCTGCGGCCCATCACGGGCCTCTGTGGACAAGGCTTCACCATCACGACCTCAGGCAGGACCAAGGTCTCGCCCCCACTGTAACCATGGAGAAAATACCACTCAGAGACAGGTTCGCCCTAAGTCACCCTAGGCTCCACCCACTCGGAGACCAGCGCCCCCCCCCCGCCACGTCACCCAGGCTCCACCCACTCACACCCACTCAATCTTCCAACCATTTCAGGCTGCCTTTGTGTTTAAAACAGACGGAGGTGGGGCCCCTGCTGCTATTTCATCTGGGACCCTCAGGTGTCCCAGACCTGGCTGTAAGGATTCTACCTTCTCTCACCCCTTTCGCCCTCAGAGCCCCAGAAGGCATGACTCTCCACATTTTACTGAGGAAACTGAGGCACAGAGGCACAAGATCTGAGGGTTGAGGATGATGGAGCCAGAAGGGCGTCATCTTCTTACTAAAGAATAATGCCGACAGTGGATAAATTCTGTGCCCAGAGCCCAATGCCAGGTCGACCTGGCCTCGGTGCGGGGAGGGGCAGTGTCAAAGATTAGAAAACACCTGAATTTCGCTTAATCACGGTGTTTTACACAAGCGGGATGCTTAGAGGAGAGAGCGGCCAGGCGGGGGCGCCCTAGAGGCGCAGAGGATGGCCAGAGGGCAGCCGGTGCTTCCCGCAGGCCTGCAGGTGGGCATGGTTGCTGTGCCTCCACCCGCCCCTGCACCCCACCTCTTGTGGCTTCGTGTTTCATCTCCAGGCCAGAGAGAAGGGGCTTCCAGCTCAGTAGCAACAGCCTGGGCCCAGAGCCTCGGATTCAGGGTTGCCGCTGCAGAGAAGCGCCTCCCTAGAGCAGCAGGGTCCGGCCAGCCCTGGGGACGTCACGGGGCCTCCCTGTGCGTGTCATCCTGGAAGGGAGCCTGTCTTGGGTGGCAGGTTCCAGTTGGGAGCTCCGTCCCAGGCAGCCTCCCGGTACACTGGAAGCCGCAGCTCTTACCCCAGGCTTCTCCTTCTCCCAGGCTCTACATTCTAGAACTTGCTGAGCCTATGCTCTGAGCTGAGGGGACCCTGGGCCTCGAGATAAGCCACATCTGCTCCCCCACCCGGGAGCTGCAGGTCCAGGGGACAACTGGCCAGATGAGAAACCCCGCCCGCGTGGCCAGGCTGAAGGCTGTAGCTGAGGGTGTTAAGCAGAAGTGGGCGAGGGTGAAGAACAGGCTTGGAGAACAGGAGGCTGGGCCCTGGGTGGCCGTGGGGTGAGAGCAGGGAAGGCAAACGGGGTCACCCCCTTCTCTTAGTCCTTCCAGTGGGGCTGTGGTGTCCCTCGGCCCAGGGAGCCTCAAGCTGCCCGCCGGGGAGGGAATACTAAGAACCGAGAGCTCGCAGGGAGCCCTGTTAGGCAGGAAGGTCTGAGCACATCAGGAAAGGGGGGGTGTAAGCCCTGGAGAGGAGGGGGCCCCACACCCAGGGGCAGAGTTGCTCAGAGCTTCCTGGTTGCCCCCCCACACACACACACACAGCCTCCCGCACCCCCATCCCCCGGACTAAGCAAAGACGTTGAGGGCTTCTTTCCTGCAGAAGGGATCACCAGAGTTTTCTTGTTTTGTGTGCTTAAATTTACTCTTTGTTCTTTTCTCCCTCTTTCACCATTTGTTTTTGATGTGTTGCATGCCCCCACTCCAGGTTATAAGCTGTAAGTCTTTATTTTTTATTACTGCTCTAGGGGTTACAAAATACACACTTAGCTTCTAAGAATGTCACACAATGCGGGATGCTGTTTCTCTGCCTCCCTGCTCCTGTTACGAGCCCTTAGTATCTCCATATAGTACAGGCTCAGGGAAACAGAGGTAGTCTTTTTCTTTAAACTGGTGCCCTTACCTTTTAAGGAGATTTGCAAATGAGAAAACATTTACTCAGATAGTTGCCATTTCCACTCGTCTTTGTTTCTTTAAAAAAAATTGTGTGTGTGTGTAATAAAATACACATAACATAAAATGTAATGGTCACTCACATCTTAACCATTTTTAAACGCACAATTCAGTGGTAGTAAATATGTTGACACTGTTATGCACACACTACCTCCCTCGTCCCTATAACTTTAAATCCCGTAAAATGAACACTGTACTCATGAAACAATCGCCTCCTCGCCGCCCTCCTTCCAGCCCTCCTCCCCTACAAACACCGTTCTATTTTCTGTCAGTATGATTTTTACAACTCTCAGCTAAGTGGAATCATGTGGTATTTGACTTTTTGTACCTGACCGATTTCACTCAACATAATGTCGTCAAGAGTCACCCATGTTTTAGCACATGACAGAATTTCCTTCCTTGTTAAAGACTGTATACTATTCCAATGTTTGACGAGGCCACATTTTATTTAACAATTCATTGTCCATGGGACACTTGGTTTGCTCCTGTGTTTTAGATTTGTACATAATGCTGCTGTAAATATGGTTGACACCAAAATATCTCACCAAGATCCGGGTGTATATCCCGGAAGTGGAAATGCTACAGCACATGATAAATATATGTCAGTTTTCTGAGGTGCCGCCATGCTGTCTTCCTCAGGGGCTATACCATTTCACATTCCCACCAATTGCTCCACATCTTCGCCAGCACTTGTTATTTCTGTTTTGTTGGTTTTTTTCCCTTTTCTCTAGCAGCCAGCCCCATCAGTGTGAGCTGGTACCTCACTGTAGCTGGCTTGTGTTTCCCTGGCGATAGTGATGTTGAGCACCTTCTCCTGTGACTATGGCCTTTCCTATATCTTCAGCAGAGAAATGGCTACTCAGTCCTTTGTCCATCTCTGGTTGTTAAGCTTTTGTTGGAATTTTGGCTTTTTTTCATCTTTATGCTTTAATGTGGTCCAAAATTCCATGTTCTTATTTTCTCTCCTCTTAAGGAAATTTCCTTTAATGTTCTCGTAGTCATTCCTCTGATGATGAGTTCTCTCCACACTTTTTGCTTAAAAGTCTTTTGTTTCCTCACTCATTTTTTTTAAGATTTTATTTTTTAGGGCTATTTTAGTTTTGTTACCAACTGGTTGAATTCTTTCTTTCTTTCTTTCTTTGGTAAGATTTAATTATTTTGCATACAGAACTGAGGTACAGGCCAGAGGTACAGGGGTGGTGAGAGGATTCACCAGAGACAGAATGAGGAGCAGGACAGGCGGACCTGCTGATATGGAGCACCATGTGGGTCAGCTCCCTGGCTGGGGATCATCTCATGTTGCAGTGTCTGTGGCTAGCTTCGTAGTGCTGCACTTTAACCCCTTGCACCACCAGGGAGGGCCTGAATTCTTTTCCCCATCAACACCCAAACCAGCCCAGGAGATACTTGAACAAGACTGAGGCAGTGGAGGGTTCTTCCTTTGGCTGAGAATGGAGAAGGCCTGCTGGAAAGCCTTGTCCCCCAAGGGGGGAGAAGCAGGGACTTAGATGTTGGGGGCCGGGGGGAGAAGGGGAATGACTCCACATTCCATATCAGCCAGATTTTAGAGAAAAAGGTGGGGGTGGGGAGGGGGCCCTGGGAGGTCGTAGGCGCCTCTTCGTCCTAGCTTGGGCCTGCCTCGCCCTGCAGCTGGGCTGTGCTGTTCATTGTGGCCCGAGGCTGTGGGCCACCCTTTGCCTTACACCTCCCTCATCTCAGCGGTCCTCACGCTTCTTCTGCAAATAGATCAGCCAGAACAGAGCGAGGCTAAGGGACGATGGTTGCCGGACGCAGTGACAGTTTCCTAGCAGAACTGGGTGTCCACATTTCCGATATGCAGCCCGCCCGACACGGCCGCAGCCGCCCCCCTTCTCAGTGTCCCCGCCAGAAGGAACCTCTGTTCCAAGGAGGAAGCCACGGACACACAGGGCCAGAGCACGTGGTTGGTGTGGCTCTTCTTCTGCGTCAGGCGGAACGGTCTCTCTGACCGTGAGCCCCTGGGCTCCGTCCACTCATTCCTCTTGCACCCCAGCCTCTAGCAGCCTGCACCCCAGTCCCTGGAGCTGACCACAGCACTGTCTCTGTAGTCTGTCTTCTCGGAACACCAGAGTGGGCGTCACACCGCACGTAGCCTTTTCAGACCGGTTTCTGTCCCTTAGTAAATGCACTGAAGGTGCCTCCACTGGCAGCTGTTACAGAGGGTGACGTGACCTGGCTGGTGTTTTAAAAGGCCACCGGGAAGCCATGGGGACAGTGGGTTAGAAGGGCAGGGGACAGTCGGGAGGCAGAAACCCACGGCAGAGGTGGCTGTAGCCTGACGCCAGGAGAGGCGAAAAGGGGACAGACACCCCAGTGGAATGACGGGCACCCATGTTTCCCCCGCCCTATAGCCTCAGGATGGGGGAGCAGCGTCCCCCCAGGGCAGCAGCCGCCTCCGCCTCCCCTCCTTCTCCACCGGGAGTACCCGGAATGTGTCCAAATCCTGACTGGCCAGAGTGAATGACGATGGACGGGCGGGGGAGGAGAGGGCTGACCCAGGTGGTGTAGGGGTGGGGGAGAGCTGGGAGAGGGGGTGCCCTGGGAGGCCCTATCCCTGTGGCAGGAGTTTTCATCGCCAGGACAGTGAGCCGGAAGCTGGGGCTCTCAGAGGGACGCACATCTGAGAGTCCCATGAGCAGACAAGGTGGGCGCCTAGGAAGTGGCGTCACCCAGACATGGGAGCGGTGGGTGGGGGGAGGAGAGGCTGAGTGAAGTGGGGTGATTGGCCCTTCATTCTTCGGCGCTAGGGGGCGCTGGGGCCTGTGGTGAAGAGAGGGGAATGCAGCCCCCCCCCCTCGGGGCCACCAGCAGGGGGCGGCAGCGTGGTCCACCCCGGTGCGGTGCGCGGGGGAGCCAGACTGAAGGGTCAGAGGCACGGAGAGAGGAAGCCCAGGTGCCCCGAGGGGGCCGAGGAGGGTAGAAAGGAGGAAGTTGAGCCAGGTGGGTGTCCAACTGTGGGGGACGAGAGGGGACCCCAATATAGGGGGTGTTCTGGGAGGGAGGCTCCCCTGCGCCCCGCTGAGAAGTGGTGCCGGGCGTTCCCTCTGTCTGGAGAAAAAGGGGGGCTCAGGGCGGGAGGAGAGCGGCATCCCTGGGTAAGCCCCGCTTCCCTTACACGTCCTGACCCCTTTGGGCTGGGGTGGCTGCTCAGACCTCCCCGTGGTGAGCAGGGGAAGGCCGTCCAGGGGCCCCTCGCCAGAAAGGTCCAGCCCTGACACCACGCGGTGTCCTCTGATACCTACTTGTGCGTGCTTCTGGGATAATCTCTGTGTGGGACACAGAGAAACAGGCGGGGGCGGGGTGGGGACTTGGGGTAGCAAAGGCCAAGGTGGGGAGCTGAGCCCAAGATGCGCCATTCCCGGCTCTGGACCACCAGAGCTTCCCAGTTTGTGGAGGAGACGGCGGGGCCCAGGCTGTCCAGCCCCTGCGGCAGGGTGGGGCGCCGGCAATGGTGGGGCGCCGGCAGGGTGGGGCGCCGGCAGGGTGGGGCGCCGGCCATGGTGCTTGCTGCCTCCTGCTGCTAATCCGGCCACCCTGTGGCTGCCCCTGGTCACTTGGCAGAGGGTGGGCTCACGCCTTGCCCATTTTCTCTCTTCAACCCCGCTCTGTGCTTGGAGGGGCTCTCTGTCCTCTGTCCCTCCATGCACTGTCCGGCGGCCATCCATCTCCTACCCACCAGCCGTCTGCTCCTCTCTTCCTCACTTCCCTCCGGATCTCTGCTCCTTGCCCTTCTTCCGCTCCGCGCAGCCCTGTGCCTGTCCCTGTGCCTGTCGTTGCTGGCTGCCCGGCCCCTCCGCCCTTGCCTCCCCCTTCTCTCCACCTCTGCCTCCATCTCGGCCTGTGGCTCCGTTGCCACCACCCGCCCCCACTCACCCCTCTCTGGCTGTGTCTCTTCGCCAGCCTGTCCAAAGCCGCCGACCTGGACCACCACTGGGTGGCCAAGGCCTGGCTGAACGACATCGGCCTGTCCCAGTACTCCCAGGCCTTCCAGAACCACCTGGTGGACGGGCGGATGTTGAACTCTCTGATGAAGCGGGACCTGGAGAAGCACCTGAACATATCCAAGAAGTTCCACCAGGTCAGCATCCTGCTGGGGATCGAGCTGCTGTACCAAGTGAACTTCAGCAGGGAGGTGAGCGCCAGCGTGCAGGCGAAGGGCCTTGGGCGCCCCCTCGCCCGTGGGCATCAGCCTGCCCACTCCCCACCTGCCCCTCCACCCCCTGCCCGCCCCCGACCCCTCCTCCACTACCTGGGTCTGTTCCTCCTGCCCTTCCCCCAGCACCTGCATAATGAGCGTGTTCTGGGGGGCCCTTACCCCCACAAACGTGCGGTTTGTCTGAAAGAACCACAAAGGCACCTGGTGGCCATGATTCCATGGGAAATTGTTCCCATAAGAGAAACCCAGGATTTCATGAACATCTGGAGGAGCATCCGCAGGGATCGGGGGACTCCCCAGAGATAGTGACAGTTACCTGAGTCCGGAAAGAGGAATTCGGGGTTCAATCAGTAGTGACTAGGAGGAGAGCACCCCAGGAGAGAACAGCATGGGCAAAGGCCAGAAGACAGAGCTGGGGCCGCAGAAAGCAGGGGTCCCGGCGCTGAGTTTGAGATGGGGCACGATCGGATGCCAGGAGACAGCAGGCAGCTGAGGGGCCCACCAGGCACACACCCCCTTTGACTGAGCCCTGCCGAGCCGCAGAGTGCAGGGCCTCTGCTCCGCTCCTAGGGTACCCACTGGCGCGTCTCCCCAGCACTCCCCTGTGGGAGGGGCCCTGAGGGGTGACGTCAGGGCACGAGCCATCCAGCATCAGGAGGGGGCAGGAGAGGGGCTCCATGGCCTCTTCAGCACCCACCGCGGGGCCGTGCACCCCGGAAATGGCAGCAGCCCTGGCCCCTGGGGTCCCCCACCTGGTGAAGGAGGAGGCCTGGCCGGGAAGTGTAAAAGTGGGCGGGGGCTTAGGGCTGCTGGAGGCGCGTGGGGGACCCCTGGTGAAGGGTCTGTCCACCACGGGCCAGGACCCCTTTGGTACGGTCCCCAAGGGGCGTCTGTGAAAGGTGCCTGCTGACCCCTGCAGGGCTGGGGGTGGGGGTCACACCCAGATGACACTCACTGCCTCGAGGCTGCATGGACCCGAGACTTGGCCCCGCACAGAAGCGCCTCATCATCAGTGTCGCTCCACAGAAACGCTCTGGGCACTCGCTGGGCAGCTTCCCCCCGGCCCCACCCCCAGACACAGGCCCCTCTCCCCCTGGACCCCGACTCCAGGAAGGGGCGCTTCCTTGAAGGAAAGGCTGACGCACACATGAGCCCTGGAGCAGCCTCGGAGCCCCCCCTAAACTCTCCCACAGACCTTGCGTGAGCCATGGAGACTTGCTCCCTGCGGCGCGGGTGGGGGGTCTGGAGTCACCCTGTGCCCCAGCGGACCCCTATCTCCCACCCCACAGGCCCTTCAGGAGCGCCGGGCCCGTTGTGAGACACAGAACATAGACCCGGTGGTCTGGACCAACCAGCGGGTGCTCAAGTGGGTGCGGGACATCGACCTGAAGGTGAGGGGTGGGGCCGGCACGTGCAGGTGTACTCAGGTGCAGGGGCATCCTGTCCGGGCTGCAGGGACCCCCCCCCCACCCCGTCCGAACCCCATTCAGGTCCCGGCGAAGGACATGCGCTTCCTCTTGGGCGTGGGGGTGCTGGGCGTGTGTGGGGTGCCCATCTCATTCAACAACTATGTATGGGCCGCCTGCCAAGATCTGGGGGTATCTCAGGGCCAAACAGTCTTGCTTGCTGCCCTCATGGCCCTAAGAGTGAGGTGGGGGCCCCTCAGAATTAAACTAAATGGTCCCAGTTAGTTAGATGTTAAAAATAGCTAAAGATGTGAGAAGTAAAGAAATAAAAATTAAAAATTAATTCAGCGGTCTCAGAGGCCAAGGCCTTGCTGCTGGGGGCGTCCCCACTAGGAACTGGCCCCTCGGACTAACAGCCTCGTGCCGTTGTGCCCAGGAGTACGCAGACAACCTCACCAACAGCGGCGTCCACGGGGCGGTGCTGATGCTGGAGCCCACGTTCAATGCCGAGGCCATGGCCACCGCCCTGGGCATCCCCAGCGGGAAGCACATCCTTCGCAGACACCTGGCGGAGGAGATGAGCGCCATCTTCCACCCAGCCAAGTGAGTGCGGGCTGCTGACCGCGCTGGGCCCTGCGAGCAGGGACCCGGCTGCCACCCTGACCTCTCACTGTCCCCGCCGCCAGGGCTCTCCCGTTACAGACCAGACCAAGCCAGGAGCGCGCTCTCCCCTCAAGCTCACGGACCAAAGAGCAGTAGAGGGCTGTTCAGGTGTGGGCTGGGCGCACAGTCCCGGGGCGTCTAGAGAAGGGGGGGCCAGTGAGTGTGCAGAGGGGCCATTGGAGGGGCTGGAGCTGGGGGGTGCTGCACTGGCCTACGCGTGTGACGGCCTCCAGGCAGAGGGGACGGTGTGGGACACGGAAGGGCGTATTAATGGCACCGGAGGTCGCAGTGAGCAGGCCACGTCAGCGCCTCCCCAGCCTCATCCGAAGAGTGACCAGAGATGCAGCCCTGGAAGACAAACTCAGCCCCTCCCAGGGGGTTCCCTCCCAGAATGACTGCGGCGCTCCCCAGCTCCAGGTGTGAGGTGCTCAGCACAGGGCGGCCTGTGGGGGTCCTCTGTCCACCCCCAGCGGTCAGGGTCACTGTCACCAGTGCGTGTCCCCGGGGGCAGCAGGGACAGTAGCTGCCTGGGCCTCCCTGACCCCTGCGATGGGTCTCTCCCCAGCTCCGCCGGCATCCGCGAGGCCGAGCGTTTCGGGACGCCCCCGGGAAGGGCCTCCAGCGTCACCCGGGCGGGGAAAGAGGACAGCGGCATCAAGTACAAGGCGGGCCGGGTAAGTCACGCCCACCGTGCCTTGAGGCCTGCCTCCCGGGAAGGCGCCCGGCCATGCGGAGGGCCCCAGGGCTGGTCTGGGATGTGGCTCGCAAAGGGCCTGGAAGCGGCTCCCGGCACCTGCCAGGTGCTCCAGGCGCAGCACGGCTCCAGACGCGGCATCTCACCTGCCTGCTCAAAGTACAGATTCTGGGACCCCCCCACCCGATGCAAAGGGCCTCGGGGCATGGTGGGGCCCAGCCTGCGGCCAGATTGCCCAGAGGGTGCCAGCGCACCCCAAACTCCAGCAACCACCAATTTAGCTCTTGGGCTCCAGGGGCCTGCCAGTGGCAGTAGATGTGCCCGAGCGCCTGATCCCCTGAACCCCACCCCAGCCCCCCAGCCCTGCACACGTCCCTAAGCCAGGCGCCAGCGCTGGCGAATCCATCAGGCCTCCTGCTCATTCAGCAAACATCCAGGGGGTACTGGATGGGGTGCCAGCACGAATCCGGGTCACCTCCCAGAAAGTGCTTTCCCGCTGGGGCGGTATCACCTCCAAAGGAGTGAAATTCGCTCTGGAGGTGGGGGCCCAAAGCCTTCCTTTTTGTGTATAAAGAGCAACCTCTGAGCAGATGCGTGGGCTGTCTGGGTGGGAGAGTTTCTCAGGGGAGCGCGGTCCCCAGGAAAGGCTGAGGGGCCCCAGGGCTGAGAGAAAGCCCAGCCAAGAAATGGGTGGCGAGACCCGGGCCCTGGTGGCATCCTGGGGTCAGTCCTGTAGGGGCGATATGACCGAGGGCCAGCGGGACCACAGGGGGCGCTGCCCCCTCCCACCGCCCCGCCAGCAACTGGCTGTGTCTTTGCAGATGGGGTTTTGACTCTTCAACACCCCAGGAGGCAGGAACCACTACCCGCCTTTCCTAGCCCAGAAAACGGTCCAAGGTCACGCCACTAAGAAATGGCAAAGCAGGCTCTGAGCCCCACTTTGTGAGTCTCCAAAACCCACACTCCTGGCCCCCACCAGGAGATGCCAGAACGTTCCTCTGTGACTCAGGCGTGCGGTCAGACCTCACGCCACGCTGGAGCGTTCTCACTGTCCTCCCGCCGCAGAGGAGGGAGGTGTCTGTGGGTCTCCAGACGGGCCGTCCTCTCCCTCGGGGGCTGAGGGGCTCCTTCCTGGGAGGGGAACATCGCAGCTTGTCCCTCACGTTCCCCATGAAATCCCACTGCTGTCCTGAATCAGGGTATCGGGACTCTTGGCAGGAGCACAGAGAGGGTACGCAAGTTACTGAGGTCACACAGGAGTCAGAACTGGGGAGCTCGGGTTTCGCAGGCCCGCAGACATTCCACTGTTTTCCTTCTTCTTCTCCCGTCTCAGCTGCCCCTGGGGAAGATCGGCAGGGGCTTCAGCAGCAAAGACCCCGATTTCCACGATGACTACGGCTCCCTTCAGAACGAAGACTGCGGGGACGAGGACCTCCAGGGCAGGCCCGAGCAGTGCCGGCTGGAGGGCTACAGCAGCCTGGAGGTCACCAACGTGTGAGGCGCCCGCACCCCGCCAGATCCGCTCGGAGATCCCCAGGGAGGGGCAGGCGATCGGCCCCACTGTACATAGTGACCTGGAGCTGGGCGCCCCAGCTTCTGGGCAGGCCCCTCAGACTGGCCAGATGGGCGGCCAGCCCTGCCTGCGTGGGGAAGGGCCAGTGTGTGGCCACCTCCCTATCGCCCCGGTCCCACCTCACAGTGACTGTCAGTGTCGGGGAACCCAGGTGGTCCCCAAAGCCTTGAACTGAGCAGCCAAGGGGAAAGAGGCCCCGAGCACCCCCAAACACCGCCCAGCCGGACAGGTAGGGCTCCAGCCAGGCAAAGGGCACTGGGGAGTGACGTGCAGAGCCAGCGGGGTCCTCGCGGGGCTCCTCCCGGGGTGCCAGGGGTCCAGGCCCCGCATCCACACCCCGGGACTGGGAGCTTGGCTTGGGCCATTGAGTCTCTCCTGAGAGAATGCAAAATGGGGGGGTCATTTCCTTCCCCCCAGTAGCTGCGGCCCCAAGGGAGTGCACGTGTTTGTTGGAGAGCTGTTTGACCCCTCCTGGAGCTGCTGCATGGGGGAGGCGGGTGGGGTTCACGCGGGGGTGAGGCTGAGGAGCCACTTCCCAGGGGTACAGGAAGAAGGGTGTGATGACCGCATCGGAGTGACTGGCACGTTCTACCAGGGGGGCGGCGGTGGGTTTGGGATGGGGTGCTGGAGACTTTGTGTGATGGTCCCCTGAAATGTAGGTGTGCTCTTCATGTCCTGCTTGAGAAGAATGTCCCAGATCAAAGTCACTGAGATGGCAGAGGGAGCTTCCAGCCCTCTTCCTGACTCTGCCACCATTTTGCTGTGTGACCTTTTCCCAGTGTCCTCACCTCTCTGTGCCTCTTCATCTATCATACTTGTGGCTCCCGTCCCCGACCTGTAAGAATTAACACTTGCTAATGTCTGTAACATACTTGTAACCTCTCAGGAGACAGGTAGGAAGCTAGGGGTGGGAAGGGGTAGTCTCTGTCCCTTCACCACGCAGGAACGACATTGCCCTGGTACTCAACTGCCTGGTTTTGGTCAGAGCAGTGTGCAAAAGGAGAACAAGTAATGTTCAACGTTCGGATCCTCAAGAGCCCCCCAACAGCATTTGAACGCGAGGAGAGAGATCCCACACGCACCTCGAGAACCAGCTTTGGCGCAGGTGTTCAGACCCAGGTTAGTTGACCTGGATGCTGAGGGGTGATGAGAGCAGGACAAAGCGCACCTGGATCCCGCTTAGCTTCAGGTGTCAAAGCGCATCGGGCACGGGGCCCGATGTTATTTCCATTGAAATCATTTGCATGAAAGGTGTGACTTTGCAAGACACAGACGTGCATCCGCCTCCCACAACTGTCAAAGCCCGGGTTCTTCAGTCCGAAAAACTGTCCTCCTGGGAAAAGCATAGACCCGGCACCGTGCCCTCGAGGACTCTGCTCGCTGGCTGGCGCAGGAGGCCGTGAGCTTCTCTCCACCTTAGGGGTACAGCCGTCCTTGCCACAGGACACAGAATGCCTGGCTGCCTGGGGACACTGTCCTGAGGTGCTGAGGGGGAGAGTCTGCACTGGGCGTGGCTTTGCAGAAGGTTCTGAACTGCCCCCGGGGTTATGAGTCAGCCACACATGGACCCTGAAGCTACAGTCCTTGGCCCCGGAGAGAGTGACCCTGCCCCATGACCTGCTGCCACGGAGCCAGCTTTCGGGCTGGGTGACCAGGGTCCCCAGGACCTGCCTCTGGGGGGCGGGGGGCAGAATGGCAGGGGGGTGTCTGTTTATTTGAAACCAGCGTTCACCCAAGCTGTCAGCCGTGAAGCTCACGTGGCTCCCTGACCCAGCTCCACTGGGGACAAGCTGGGCTATGGACGAGGGGTCCCTGGAAGTGAGGGCAAAGCCCAAAACATCAGCAGCATTTGGTTGGCAGGTCTGGGGCCACATGGGCAGCCTGGAATGTTCCTTCCGTGCTCCCTGCGCCTGCAACCCGCCAGCTCTGACGCTGGCTTTTCAGCACGGGGACGGGTGGCTAATGCACAAGCCTCCCTCACGCTCAGCCACGTGGGTGAGCTTTGTCTGCTTCCGGAGCAGGAGCAGGGGTGCAGAGACAGCCGGCAGGAGCTGACAGAGGCTGGCGGAGCAGGGGCCATCTGAGTCGTGTCTTGTCCTGGTCCCGCGGTGACACCATCTGGCTGCAGGACACCCGCTGTGCTTCTCTGGAGGGTGGCATCGGTCGGCTGTGCCTCCAAGTCCTTGGGAAGGGGAGGTTGGGCCCCACGGCCGGGGACAGGGTGGTGTAGAGGCTGGCCATCAGTGGGGACCTGCCCAGCGCACCCTCAGCTTTCTGGGCCCAGAGCTGCTGGAAGCCCCTTTGTCGCCAGCTGAGCAGTGTTTCCCCAGATGTCTGTTAGCACCACAGTTAGCGCTGGGCCTGCAGGAGGCAGGGAGACACCACGTCGGCGTTGGAGAGGGGTTGGAGAGGGCCGGAGGTCTCTATAGCACCCCGCCAGCAGGGGGCGACCCCAAATGTTGAGGCCACCCAACAGGGCTGGGTCCAGCAGAGTGGGACGGTATGGCCGGGTGTGGCTGCAGGGTCCCCTAACCCCGTTGCTCCAAGCCCAGGGCTCCCACCAGAACCCCATGTCCTGGCCACCATCGCATCCACTCTGCTCTTGGGGCCCGGCAGGCTCAGGGCAGGTGAGTGGCGGGGCCGAGGAACCGATGTCAGAGCACCGTCGATGCTCACCTTCTAGAATTTCCGGAGCCCCAGCACAGAGGGCCTTGGCTGCCCCGGGGGCCAGTTGGGCGTGAGCCGAGATGATGTCCCTGGCCTTAGTTGCTGGTCGGAGCCTGGACTGTCTCCCCAGAAGTGATTTTAACACTGTAACAAACAATAAACACTACTGCGCAGTGGCCTCGGTCTGTGCTGTTCTTACTGCATTTTCCCAGCAGCCTCTCTGACAGTGGCGGTGTAAACCCATTCCACAGGTGGGGAAACTGAGGGAGACGGGCCGAGGGGCTGGCACAGCCCCATAACGCTAAGGAGTCACGGGATAGGGATTCAAAACCCAGTCGCGTGTCTCCGAACCCCAGACTTGCCCCTGCCTCCTCACTGAGCACTCCCCTGCACCCCCTGAACCCCCTTCTAACATGGATTCACCTGACCAGGTGCCATCACCCACATGGGGCTCAGGTGTGCTCTGTCCTGGTGGGAAAGCCTGGGGTCTGCTCTCCCCTGGCAGGGCCCCCTCTGCCCTGTCTCTGGGCCCCCGCTGCCGCCTGCCCAGTCACCCTCCCTTAGGGTCACTTTTTTTCACCATGTCACCCCCCTCGCCCCAGGGAATTTATATTTTCCAGTGGTCAGAAGAGCTCTTGGGTGGTTGTCTCCGTCGGCTCAGGCTGCTGTAACAAAACTCCTAAGGTGTCTATTTTAAGCCTTGCTGGTTGCACGAGGTGGTGCTGGCTTCCAAGGGCCCAGCACAACCTCAGATGAAACACCCAGGGAATGCTGCACCCACCTGTGCATGTGCGCTCCTCCTGGGTGCTGCTTTCCCACCGCCCGTGCACCCTGGCCTTTGGGGAAGGAGTGACGGGAAGGCCCGCCCGCCCGAGGGCTGCAGCCCCACGCAGGGTTGAGGGGAGATCGCTCTGCGCCGCTAAGCCTCACCATGCCCCCAGGGGAGGGGCCTGGGTTCTCATCATAATTAGCCACTAGGATTTTGTCTCTTTGAACGCTCACTGGGTGTCTAGGACTTTGCACAGGTAACTCACTTAATCCAGGAGCCATCCCAAGAGCCACAGGCTGCTGCTAACTCCCTCTCGCCACTGAGAAGACAGACCTAGTGCAGGAAGTCGCCTCCCGCCCTTCTGCAGGGGGAGAGCTGAGCGCCTGAGCCCCATCTGCACGCACCTGCCAGTGACCTCTGCGGGCCCACTCGCTCAGCAGAGCTCAGAGAGCCTGGTGCGCCCCAGCACTGGGCTGACTGGCCCCCCTAAGTAGCCTTGTTTGATCCCACCCCTCACCTCTCTCTGCACCAGGATGGATCTCTGCTGAACTCCCGGAGAACGTAAGCCAAGTCCTCTGAAGTTCATCGTCAAGCTTGCATTAAGACGACTGTGTGGGCCCGCAGGGCCCAGGACTGTCCAAATACTAACCGCCCCCACCCCCCACCCCCACAACGGCTCCCACAATACTCCTGGTGTGTTAGGTAAATGAACAGAGAGATGGAGAGAAAAAAGAAGTTGAAGATGAGTTTGCAGACAGTCTAGGGGCCCATCAGCACCCTAAAGAGGTGGACCCCCTGTACTCTTCCTTCCCTCCAGCCCTGTGGGCCTTTTGTCAGCCCTGCTTACTCTTCTCTTGCTACCACAGGGCCTTTGCACACACTGTCCCTCATGCCCACACTTCTCTTCCTTTTCCTCTTTCCCTGCTGAACTTCCCTCTGCCCCGGCTCAACTCCTGTTGACAACATCACGCCCCTGTGCTATGCGCTCTGAGGGCTCACAGCCCCACCCTCAGCCTCTTGAGGGGTATTGATTCATCCTGTCTTCCCCTGGGCAGTGAGCCTGACCAGACAGGCTGGGCAGGATTCCACTCACCACTGTGCCCTCAGCCGCTGCTGGCTGTTTAACTGATCCATCAGGCACAAGTAAATCTAATGGGAAAGGCCACACCTCCATGACATCCGGCCCCTTTCCAAGCTGCAGGCCAGTGGCTGCGGCAGAAGACCGCAGTGAGCAGAGGACACCAGGCGCCACGGAAGCCCCAGACCACAGTCACCACACAGCGTCCGAGGGCGTCTGTCTACTGAGCCTGTCACTCAAGCTTATCATCTGGTGAAGAAGGGCAGAGACACGAGGCGTGAAAACCACACAGCTGTGAAATAAGATTCTTGTGCCCTCCCGGGTGGCGCGGCAGGTTGGAGCGCTGCACGGCGAAGCCAAGCCAAGCTGTGGCTGCTTTAGTGAGAGTTTGACCCCCGGCCAGGGAGTGACCCACAGGGCGCAGCAGACCGTTCCTGCCTCCTGCTGCTCCCCGCGGCAGTAGACTTCAGTCAGTCGGCCTGTTCTGTTCCCCACTCTGTCTGGTGAATCTCCTCACCGCCCCTGCACCTCTGGCCTACACCCCAGTGCTGTATGCATAAAAAAATAAATCCTTTTATTTATTTATTTATTTATTTATTTATTTATTTATTCATTCATTTATTTATTCATTTATTTATTTATTTATGCATAAATAGATAAATCCTCTCACCGCCCCTGTACCACACGTGTGGCTCCAGGCACCGGGCGGCTCACACAGATACCAGAGTCAGAGCTGAGCGTTCAGGGCCACTGCTGACGACACAGCCCTCCCTGGCCTGTGGCTGCTTCACCGCCTCGGCGCTGGTGGCGTCTAGGCAGCTTTGGGGGGCAAAGGAGGGGTGACCCTGTGCACTGCAGACTGTTAGGCTGAATCTCTGGCCTCTTCTCAGCAGATGCCAGTAGTCGCCCCTTCTACCCACGACAACCCCAAATTTCCCCAGACAGTGTTGTGCATCCCCTGGGGAGATAAAATCAACCCCAGGTGAGAACCACTTGGACATGGTTGTGCCCAGTTAATCCCCCAGCAACTCTTTCGGGCAGTGTAGGGTAAGTGAGTCACTCGGTTCTTTTTTTTTTTTTTAAGATTTGTTTATTTATGCATACAGAACTGGGGTGCAGTCCAGAGGTGTGGGGTGGGGATGAGAGGATTCACCAGCGACAGAGTGGGGAGCAGAACAGGCAGATGAACAAAGTCCACTGCTGAGGGGAGCGGCGGGCGGGTCAGGAGAGGTCTGCCGCGCCTGTGGGTCAGCTCCCTGGGCAGGGATGGAACTCGCACTGAAGCGGCTGAGGCCAGCTTGCAGTGCTGCACTTTAACCCGCTGCGCCGCCAAGGAGGCCCCCTCAGGCTTTGCCACCACTGGCCTGTCGCCAGCAACTGTAACCCTGACCGTGTTAGTGCAGAGGGCGTGTGGGTGCAGGGCGCGCTTGCCTGATGGTGGGCACCTGGCGCATGGGCGTGTGCGCATGTGCGAGCGTGCACACCTGAGCCCGGGGGAGGGGCAGCGTCACCGGCCTCAGGAGGGGAGGAGCGGGAGGAGGCAGCCGGCGAAGTACTGCGAAAGCGCTTTGCCCCATGCAGCGTGAAAGGCCTGTAAAAATCTGCCGAAGCCTCCAAATTAGCTTTCCGTTGTCTTTAAGATTTATGGGGTACAGGCCAGAGGTACAGGGGTGGTGAGAGAATCCACCAAAGACAGAGCGGGGAGCAGAACAGGCAGATCGACGAAGTACACTGCTGAGGGGAGCAGCGGGGAGACAGGAGAGGTCAGCTGGGCCATGGGGGTCACTCCCTGGCTGGGGATCAAACTCCCACTGCTGCAGCGGCTGCGGTAGCTTCCCAGTGCTGTGCTTTAGCATATTGCGCCACCAGGGAGGATCCCCAAGTTAGCTTTTCATCTGCAAGAGCTGACGAAGGACCTACCCAGCCTGGGAAGGTTACAAAACAGATAGGTGTGGCTTTCCCCATCTGACAGGTGGGGAAACAGAGGCACGGAGGTACCAGGAGCCTGAGCTGGTGAGTAGTTGCTGGGATCTTGGCATCTGACCAGGGTGGGCTCCACAGAGCCTGGGCTGGGGCCCAGCGCCCCAGGCAGGCCAGCCACACCCAGCTGTTTAGCGTAGAAAACTCCCGAAGCCAGATGCTCCCAGCGCGGGAGGCCTCCTAGCTGCTGAGCGCCCCATTAGTGGAAGCTGATCCTCTCCCTCCACCTGCTTAGAAAATTGCTCTGTAAATTACAGGTTTAAAGGGTAAAGACAGCCCTGCGAGCTCCCAGCTAACAGCAAGGTAATAATTTAGAACGGCCTGGTTGAGTAAGTACTTATAATAACTAATCCCACACCACACCTCCATCATCTCCATGTTACTGGGGAAAAGGAGAAGAAAGGGAAAAAGAAACAAACAGGAGTGGCAGCCCCGTCTAGGGCCTCACAACAAATTAGCCACAGGCCCCGGCAGCAGCCGACGCCAGCCACCTCCCCAGCCCCCGCGGGCGCCTCTCTGAGGGGGCCCCAGTTCTGGTGGGTCAGGTCAAGCCTAAGGTGGCCTCATTTTCCTTTCATTGCCTTGTTGAAGGTCCCGCCTCCAAATCCAATGCCCTTTTAGGTACCCGGGGGTTAGGACTTCATGGGTTTAATGAGAACAGACTTCAGTCCACCGTGTTCTCCTTACCCCAGCATGCAGGCAGACACGCAGACACACAGACAGACACGCAAACATGCACAAAGACAGACAGACACACAGGCACTCAGACATGTAGACACGCAGACATGCAGACACACAGGCATGCAGGCACTCAGACACACACGCATGCGCACTCACGCCACCTGCTAAGTCGTGAATTGGGTCCCGGTCTCACGGTCCTAAAGGGTCCCAGTAAGCACCCACCATCCCTGGGCCTGACCCCAAGGTAACTCCTGCCCCCCAACACACACACAGCACAAGTCAAGCCCTCCAGCGGCGATACACAGAGCAACGTGAGGTAGAGGAGCCGAGATTCTGTTGTCTAAGCTTCCCCAGCTCCCTGGCAAGAGAGGCCCCTCCTGACCCCACCACCATCTGAACCCCTAAGGAATGTGGCCTCTCTCGGCCCCCCACAGCTTGAAAGGGGCCAGTGTGGTAAAGGCCTGTCCTGGGTCCTCCATTCAGGCCAGGCTGTCCCTGGGCTCTGCTCACAGCAGGTCAGGCCAGAGCTGAGGACGGGCCCGAGGTCACTCTGACAATGCAGAGCCGGGCACACTGCCCGGGAGAGGGGCACAGCGCGTCCAGGACCATCCCTACCTCCAGCCGTGGCCTGACACACCTCACAGGAAAGAAGCTATGATGAGAACCCC